TCAAAAAAAAAAAAAAAAAAAAGATCTAGGGTACACACACACTCCTGAAACAAAAGTTTCATAAAACAACACTTTTCATACTTTGCAGTATATGCTTATATTTTCCATTCTATGTATTTACTTTTTAGGAAACTCAGCTATTTGTGACTCACCAGAATGATTTCATTACTGACCAATGGATCATAAGCTATAGTTTGAGAAAATATTTTTCTATCTGGCTACTAAATTGCTCCTCCTAAAACACAATTATTTTCCTTAAAACCCTCAATTCCTCTCACTACTCGAAGCGTAAGACTCAAACTCTAACAAGGCTTCTACAACTTTCCATTACCAAGTCCTTTCATTAAAGTAGCTCCATCTTTGTCTGTTCTAACTGGCTCATTTTTATTTTACAATCCACCCTTGCCTACCTACTTTCTGGACTCAGACTATGTCCCTGGGCTTTTGCAAGTTGTTTTTCCCTGCTCAGACTGTGTTTTACACACCCTCTTCTTATAGCTAATTTCTACTTTTTCTACCTTCTTGGCGCAGACTTCACGTCCCTTGGCACTTGGGACTTCCTCATTGTCAGTGTTTATTTGATGCTGTATTGCAACAACAATAGCACTGTTTAAGAGCAGAGACTGAGTTTTGTTCCCCATGATATACCTTACAGGCCTTCAGTAAATATTACTTGAATAAATGAAACTTTTGTCAGTGGGTTCCCATCTCAAGTCTGTTGTGTAGGCATTCTTACATGTTCTCATATTGTTGGTCTTCGGGTTCGTTAACATCATTATAATGTGTTATAAAGCTACTGGAGAAGACTCAGGTCTGGAACTGCATGGTCTACACAGACACAACTTGTTAGTTGACTCATTAGTTTCTAGGGTTTGGCAATATATGAGACAGCATGAAAGACTGGGTTCAAGATTTACTAGATCTCTCATACTAGAACATAACTTGGCATCTCTAAGTTTCATTTCTTCATCTGAATTCCAACACTCTAGCTAATATATAAACTTGGATGCCCTCAATCTCCCCAAATTTAATTTGTGTAATTGATGATGTGATAGCATGCTCTTCGGACTATTGTGAGGCACCAGTAGCTTAAATAATGTAAAAATACTTTGTAGATTGTTTTTTTCGCTATTATTACTACATACAGATACTAATGCCTCTTGTTAGGTTATGCCAACATCTTAAGTTTCATTTGTTAGGGAGGGCAAGTAGGATGAAAAGTATGGATAGAGAGTACTGATTATCCTAATGAGCACAGCTCATGAATTCTTAGATTTAGCTATGTCATGGCCTGTGATACCATAGCTTTTTATTCAGAGACTTTCTTCCTCAGGGCTTCCCTGTTCCTTTAAAAGAAAACTAAAATCTCAATGTAACTTATTTAGTCTTCCATAACAATTTTAGGGTATTTTACGAACTTCTTATAGGGGGCACTTCATAATCAGGTAGGCATCATCAGACTGATATATGGTGGTCTTCCTATGGGGGGAGGAATATTAAACCAAATAAAAAAAGAACAGGTAATCCCTGAGATCCATGTCAGCCAGACTGCTGAAACTATTTGGTTATTTATGCATGAAGTCCTGAGAGTTTACTGCAAGTTAAAGAAGGGTAAATAGAGGATTATACATATCTGACTTCATTTCTTTTGGTCACCCCTATGAATTGGTATAGCAGAATTTCTTCCTTTCAGTGTTAGCAGGCCACAAAATACCTAAAGAATAAACCATGCTGCAAGCATTTTGGATATGCCATGACACTGGGCTGACATAATATTCACATTGCTTCCCCTAGATTGGCACACTTGTAAATAACTTAATCAGGAATTTTTTTTTCTCATTTTTACCTTAGTTATCACTATGCTTTGGATGTGGTTTGTTCCCTTCAAAGCTCATTATTGAAATGTGATCCTCAGTTGTAGCATGTTGGGAAGGGGTGCCTAGTGGGAGGCATTTAGGTCATGGAGGTGGATCCCCCACGAACAGATTAATTCAGGAGGAAAGGGTGAGTGAGTTATTGCTCTCATGGGAATGAATTAGTTCCCATGAGAGCAGGTTGCTTAAAAAAAGTCTGGCCTTCTCAGTTTCTCTCTTGTTTCTTCTCTCTCCATGTGATCTCTTTGCATGTGCCTGTTCCCCTTACATGTCCCACCCTGAGTGGAAACAGCATGAGGTCCTTACCAGATGCAGCTGCTCAATCTTGAGCTTCCCAGCTCGCAGAACCGTGAGCTAAATAAACCTCTATTCAAATTATCCAGCTCAAGTAATTTGTTGTGGCAACAGAAAACAGACTAAGACCTCACAAGTTAATTTGAGGATGGCAGAAATTCATCAAGGCATACAGAATAAGCAAAATAATGTAGATTGATACATGTAGTCTTTATATGTAACATAGATTGATACAGAAGTATAAAGTCTTATAAATGTTTTGTAAAACAATATAAACATTTTCATTAACTTTAACTTCAGTCATTAATTTGGTATATATTCCCTATTATTTGTCTGGCACTTGTCCAATTGTTAGGGATATTATGAGGAAAAAGACAAAGTCCTGCTTCATGGAATTTACATTCTCTGGCAGGTAGGGAGAAGATGAAAAGAACAGATAATTAAATAAGCATTTCAGATACTAACACATGCCATAAAGAACATACAGTAAATGATATAAAAGTACTTGAAGTAGTAGTCATTTATGGGGGAACTAACAGGATGAATTCTGAAGCCATAACATTCAGTACAAATTCATGCTCTACAAATCAATAGGTGTATGACACTGGGCAAACTATTCATTCTCTCTGTGCCTCAGTTTTTTCATCTGCAGAATGGGGGTAATAATAGTACTTCCTTCATGGGGTTGTTGGATTAAATACCTCAATGTGTGTAGAGCAGTTTGAACAGTAAGTGGCATTTAGAGCTATGTGAGGGTTTTTTCTTTTTTTGAGTTGGAGTCTCACTCTGTCACCGAGGCTGGAGTGCAGTGGCATGCTCATGGCCACTGCAGCCTTTACTTGCTGGGCTCAGGAGAGCCTTCCACCTCAGCCTTCCAAGTAGCTGGAACGACAGGCATGCACCATGATGCCTGGCTAATTTTTTGATTTATTGTAGAGATGAGGTCTTGCCAAGTTGCCCAGGCTGGTCTCGAACCCATGAGCTCAGGCAATCCTCTCACCTCGGCCTCCCAGAGTGCTGGGATAATAGGCATGAGCCACCATGCCCAGCCGAGGGTTTTCAATGACTATTTTCCTCTCTCAGTAACTCATATTGAGCTAAGGCCTAAATATTAGGAAGAAGCTCAAACTAAGAATATGGATAATTTAAAAGAACACTATACCAAATAAAGAACAGTTAGACTGAAATGCAACTCTCTTTATATTTTCATGGTACATGTTAATGAAAAGATGTGAAGTTTAAGCCACAGTAGCCACATTCACGAGCCATCTTCACATTCATCGGAGCTCTTGTCACTCTCATCCTCACTGCTTTCTCCATCACTGTCATCGCTACTGTCTTCTTCACTCTCCTCTTCTTCTTTCTTAAGATTCTGAGCTTTCTCTGGCACAGAAAGGAAGAGCATTGCTCAAAATATTTCTTAGTATTTCCATTCTGAAAAATCATAATTCCCCCTGTCCCTCCCTCTACCAAGAAATACTTATTTTTAGAACGTGAGAAGAGAGCTGAACTGCTAACTGCCTCTAGGGTCAAAGTAGTAGCACAAGGAAGACACATATTCTTACTGTTTGTGGATTTAAAACATAGGTCTATAAAATAATTTTTACTATTGTCAATGAAATTCTTAAGTAAAATAAGAGGAAGTGAGACTCAGGGTAATTGAGAGCGCATTGACTTTCCTCGGAAATGCAGAATAACTCCTTTAACGCAGGGGAGTGTTAGCATGCTCTGCTTGTCATACCTGATGCCTGAGTCTGCTCTGCTTGGGCAGTTCTACCCTACAGGGAGAAGGGGGTCATCCTGACCATCCACAGAGGACAAGCTGCTTCACTAAATCATTTAAGACAGCCATTTAGCCTTTGCTTAACCACTTCCTAAAGATGCATTTTGACAATCTCCTGAGATAATGGATTTTTAAAGAGTGACTGCTTATAGTTCTATGAGAAAAAAGGAATTTCAATTTTTAAAATTACCTATCAGCAGCATTTCTTCAATAAGTGCAAAAAACTCTTTGGCCTCAGGATTTTCTGGTTCATAGATTAGGACTGAAAATGGACAAGAATGTGTGTTATTAATGCGCAAAGTATTTCAGCAAACAGGTTCTCTAGAATTAGATTGAAACGGACTGAAAATAGAGCAGGCAAAATGCACAAAGTGATAAACACTAACAGTTACAGCATAAGTATATCCAAGTACAAATAGAAAAAATGCTACACTTATATTTGGTGCTTTGTAAGAGAAATGATCCTCATTATGCTTTCTACTTTCTGTTCAAAGAATGCAATCTGCCTCATCTCCGTATGGCTCCTCTCATAGGCCAATAGCCAAAGTGTTTCATGAATATAATCATTTCTCAAAATAGGTAGAATTCCTGCAAAATTTGGAGACTTTGCTAATGAGAAGACTGTGTACCTAGAGGTCTATCAGTCTTTCCTCTCATGTTATCTACCCAGTGTCTACATGACATCCTTTACTAAAGGTCTCACCTGAACACAAAGGAACAGAGCGGTTTTTAAAATACAACCTCTTCCGCGTAGTGATGTCATTTTCCACATCTTTCAAATAGGGAAACTTATGTTACTTCTTGCTCTTCATCCTAACCATTTTTACCCTTGTCTACACCCCAAACATCACCTGCTTAACAACATTCTCCCCTCTCCTCTACACCATTGTTGTTTAGGACTTTTTTTTTGCTGATCCTTTATGTGACTGTGTCATCTTTCTTTTGGACCATCCCGATAGATTTTTTAAAGCTTGTAGGTGTGTTACCAACATCCTAGAGGCTGGAAAGATTTATACTTTTTGTTTCAGAGTTTTCTAGACTATTATTTTTTAAAGATTTCGTTCTACAGATTTCTCTCTACCTTCTTCCTTTCCTGCCTTGAGGAGTGGTCATAATTCTGCATCATTCATTTGATGTTGTGACTCCAGTTTGATATCTTGGTGGCCCCCAGGGGGCACTGAAACATCAAGTGTGCTACTCATCTGGCTGAGAGTAAGAGAATTGTGGATGGTTCAACTAGGGCCCGTGAGCTGATTGGACCCCACGCATGGCTTTCATCCTGACATACCACATCAGGGACTTTATTTCCTAATCCACTAACATAACTGATAATTTATCATCAATCTGGGTTAGCATGACTGTGTGCCTGCTTAGAAGCTGCTCTAAAGGATCCTATAGGTATGTTATGCATCACCATACATACACCTAAGGTTTCTAATAAAAGTACCCTTTCATACATTTTAACTTGGAATAAAATATGCATATCATTAGTAGTCTAAGTCTCTGAGGCTAAGCCTCTTTCCAGAACAGGGTTTCTCCCACTTACTTCTTTAGATACTAGTTTCTTAATACATGTTTGGGAAACTAGGTTAAATGAGGCTAATTAGGTAAAATAGTCAGGCATTAACTCGCAAGATTTTATAGAACCATCAACATGGTCGCAACGCTTAAGAAACAGAGAGGAGAATGTGGTTTTCCAAACTTATTTAACAATGGAATCGTTTTTGGTGGAACTCTTACAAAGAAATCTTGAGCTAACATTCCTTGGAACACAGTTAAGAAACTTCATGTTAGAATTAGAATTATTCTATGGAGTTAGAGTATGAGATTAGCTACCTCCGTGGTTTAATAACAACTTCTAGCAATTGTCAATTTTCAGAGAGTGGGGGAAAGGTTATCTGCTTTGAAATTTAGCCCGGCTGGGGTTGGTGGCTGAGCCTGTAATCCCAGCGCTTTGGGAGGCTGAGGTGAGTGGATTGCCTGAGCCCACGGGTTCGAGACCCACCTGGGCAACTTGGCGAGACCTCATCTCTACAATAAATCAAAAATCAGCTGGGCGTGGTAGCGCATGCCTGTAATTCCGGCTACTCGGAAGGCTGAGGCGGAAGGATCGCCGGAGCCCAGCAGGTCGAGGCTGTGGTGGCCGGGAACGGTCACTGTACTCCAGTCTGGGCGACAGAGTGAGACTCCAACTCAAAAAAAAAACACAAAAAACTATGACTAATATATTAGAGGAAAAAAATGGAGAAAATAGTTGAAAAGATGGTGGATTTCAACAGAGAACTGGAATCCTTCCAAGTCATTAGTTGGAAATTCTAAAATTGGAAAATACAATCTTGGCCTCACTGAATAGTTTGACAGCCGATTGGACACAGCAGAAGATAGGGTAAAGAAACTAAAAAACAGGTCAATGGAAAATATCAAAGCAGAATCATAGAAATACAAAGAAACTTAAGAAAAAGAGTTGAGTATAAGATACATGTGGGGCACCATATTAAAAAAAGTCTAATTTTATAGGAAAAGGAGGAGGGATGGGGGGAGAGTGAGAGTGAGAGAGAGAGAATAGGGTAGAAGTGGTATTTTCAAAAGTAATGGCCAATAAATTTTCAAAGCTGATGAAAACATCAACCCACAGATTTCAGAAACTTAGCAACCCCCCCAAGCATTCTTACAAATGCAAAGAAAACCACAACTATTTTGAAAATCAAACCACTAAAAACCAAAGTTAAAAAAGAAAAATAAGACGGATCATGCCATTTCTCTATTCAGAAGCCTCCAGTGTTTCCCACCTCACTCAGGGGAAAAGGTAAGGTGCTTAACTGAGAACAGATCCTGTGCAACCTGACATGCCCTGCCCATACCCTCTCTGATTTCATCTCCTATTCCACCGGCCCTGCTCACTCTGCCCCTACGCTGTCCTGTTTGCTGTTCCTTTCAGGCACACTCCCATTACAGCGCATTTGCTATTCCTTCTGCCTGGCACACTTCCTCCAGATATCCACGTGGCAGTTTCCTCAACTTCCTTGTCTTTCCTCAAGTCTTTCAGCAAGGCCTTCCTGGACCATCCTTTTTAAAACTGTTTTGCTTTCTCCCAGTACCTTCTATTCCCTCTTCCCTACTTTATTTTACTCCATAGCACCTATCATTAATGACATACTATTTATTTATTAGTTTATTATCTGTCCAACTTTAACCATAAATGTGGGATTGTTAATGTTTCTGCTGTGGTTCCAGTGCCTGGCACATGTAAGTATTCACACATTTGTGGGATAAAAATATGTTAAGTAAAGTTTGTCTGCTGTACCACCTGATACTTTTGTGAAACTAAAAGTATAAAGTTACTACTCCATTATCGTGAGGGTAAAGATTGTGACTTCTGTTCCAGTGGTGGTAATTAGTCTACATTAACTTATTCCACTAAAAGATACTCTAGAAGTCTAGTCTATGCTAGTCCTTATTCCTATCAACCTAATTTAACCTAATTTAGTATCAATTCACTGAGACACGATCAGGAAATTCACTAGACTTATAACAATCAAACCATCTTACATGCTGTAGAATTTATTTTTAGAAACAAAGAGAAGATTGGAAAATGTGAAATTATTTTGTACTTACTCATCTGACATAATTTTTTTGCCAGATGGTAGTCTCGGTCCATTTCTGCTCTCAGGAACTGGAAAACAGTAAATCCTTTAGATGAATGTCTCAGAGTCTAAATATCAATTATAAACTCTCTAGAAAATCTTATAGTAATGATTAGTTATTTTGCCTTCAGCACTGACACATGTTTTTCCAGGAGTGAGTCAATCAACCAGTGAATGGAGGAGATGTAAGGAGCTCTGATGGCAAAGTGACATGGGAGCAGGATGTCACCTCTGCTTTGCTCCAGCCGCATTGTACATGTGCTACTACAGTTTAGAATATGTAGGTTGATTCAACTGGCACAGATAATGAAGACATGAAACACTTTATTTTAACATTCTTTGGTTCAGATACAAGTCTCATGACAAACTTAGTCCATAATTATATGAGGGTTGAAAAAATGTAGACTTACAATTCTGTAATTCAATATTTTCCAGTATTGCTCTTATATTCTTTCTTCTTGCTTTTACCCTTTTAATTATGTTTTTCTTGTTACAAAGTAATATATTTTTTTATGTACAGAATTAAAAAGCTAAATAAACACATCCTATGTTCAATTAAAAATCACTTATATTTCCACCATCTAGAGATGCTTATTATTATTATTTTTTTGGTTTTTACTTTTTGAGATAGGGCCTCTCTGTTGCACAGGCTGGAGTGCAGTGGCATGATCCTCACTTAAAAAAAGTCTTCAATTTGAAGAACTGATAACTGAACATTTTCCGTATCTGATGAAGATTATAAACTCATAGACCCAAGAATCTTCATGAATAGAAGAAACATGAGGAAAACCACACCTAGTCACATCATAATAAAACTGCCAAATATAATAATACAGAAGAAACTTTAAAAAATATATGTCATATACAGATGAAGAAAGATAACAGTGATATCTCATCTAAAGCTATGAGACAATGGAACGATCTTTCAAAGTACTGAAAAAAACTTGGCAATCTAGAATTCTCTAGCTAAATATTCTTTAAAAAAAAAAAAATGGGGCTGGGTTTGGTGGCTCAGCCTGTAATCCAGCACTTTGGGAGGCCAAGGCAAGTGGATTGCCTGAGCCTGTGGGCTTGAGACCAGCCCAGGCAACCAACTTGGTGAGACCTCGTCTCTACAATAAATCCAAACAAACAAAAAAATAGTCGGGTGCTATAATGCATGCCTGTAGTTCCGGCTACTTGGAAGGCTGAGGCAGAAGGATTGCCAGAGTCCAGCAGGTTGACACTGGGGTGGCCGTGAGCATGCCACTGTACTCCAGCCTGGACGACGGAGTGAGATTCCAACTAAAAAAAAAAGTGGGAATATTTTTATTTTTTTATTTTCGATTCAGGGGTAACAAATCTAAATGCCTATCAATCTAGCTAAATATCATTTAAAATAAAGGTGAAGTTAAGATTTTTTTCAGGCCAGGCACAGTGGCTCATGCCTGTAATCCCAGTATTTTGGGAGGCTGAGGTAGGAGGATTGCTTGAGCCCAGGAGTTCAAGACCAGCCTAGGCAACAGTGAGACCTTGTCCCTACAAAAAATAAAAAAAGATTAGCTGGGCATGACGGCATGTGTCTCTAGTCCTAGCTACTCAGAAGACTGAGGTGGAAGGAATGCTTGAGCCCAAGAGTTCGGCCTGTAGTGAGCCGTGATCACGCCACTGCACTCTAAGCTGGGCAACACAGTAAGATCCCTTCTCAAAAAAAAAGGGGGGGGGGGCTTTTTGTGATAAGCAAAAGCTGTGAGAGAATTTATTGCCAGCTGAACTGCATTAAAGGAAATACTAAAGAAGTTTTTCAGGTAAAAAGAAAATGATACTATGTAGAAATTTGGATCTACACAAAGCTATGAAGAATACTGGAAATTGCATATATGTTGATAAATAAAAAGGACATTTAAAAAGAGATTTTTAAATCACTTTAAAAGAGAATTGATCATTTAAAACAAAAAATAATCATGGATTATGCTCTTCTAACATATGTAATCATGTACTTCTAACATGTAGAAGTAAAATGTATGGCAATAATAATATAAAGGCTGGGAAGGGAAAAGAAATGTCCTGTTATGAAGTTCTTGCAGTATATATGAAGTTGCATAATAATAATTAAACATGGACGGTGATATCACAACAAATAAAGTAAAATTGTTTGGTTCTCTGTAGAATTATCAGTAAATGCTTATGTATAATTTTAAAACATTTTAAAATTATTTATTTTATTTTTTATTTATATTACTATTTTTAATTTTTAAAATTTATTATTTTTTAATGTATAATTTTTGTGTACAATGTTTCAGGCTTCAGTGCCTTTGCATGTGCTATTTCCTGGACAGAAATGCCTGCTTCACTTTTTTTTAGATGAATTCCCACACTTTCCTCTTACTTCAAGTTTCTAAGATTTCACTCATGTCTCTTCCTCTAAAAATCCTTCTCTTATCCCTTGTTCCTCCTATTTATTTTCTCTTTTTTTTTTTTTTGAGTTGGAGTCTCCCTCTGTCACCCAGACTGGAGT